AGCGTTGTCCCGCTTGTTGGCGGGGTCCGCTTTTCTGATGTGCTGACGCCACTTTTCCCGATTAAATGCTTGGTCGGGGTGGATGTTAACCGACTTCAAGTCTGCGTGCAACGTATCGAGCCAGCGCTGTTTCGGGCGTCCCTTAGGCCGCTTTCCGGGCACGTCAAGGTTGAGACCGATCTTACGGACACTGTCATCTTTCGCGCGAAGAACATGACCGTACCATCGAAGACGGGCTTCGCGCATCTTGTCGACAATTGGAGCCACACCGAATCGCTCTCTGATGACATCGTTTCGAATGTGGTCTATCGTGTGACTCCGGCTGTCCAGCGCAGCATCTTGTCTCCATCACACTGAGACGGGCTTCGACTTCTTTAGTCGCAGGCCAGCACTCAGCACCGTAAATCGCGACTGGCCGGATGACGGTCTATAGATCTTAGATTTGAGACGTTCTGGTATGTTCTTATCGCAGAGAACGCCAGTCATCGAGCGCCATTTCGACCAAGCTGCACTCACGCGAGAATTCGCTTCAGAGACCAGGACTGCCGTCAGACGCGATTGCTGATCCAAGATACTTGAATGTGTTGTACGTGTGAGCTCAGTACCATTGATCTTAATAGAGCCTGGCTCACACGAATCGGTGGTCTTTTTGACGTTCAACCTGAGCCCGAACATAGCCAGACGGTCGGACCAGGTTTGCACTTGTTGCTCGAGCGTGCTTTTATCTTCGCTGGCGAGCATCACGTCATCAGCATAAAGAAGCGTCCATGGAGCCGGCTTCTGAAGATCTCTGAAATGGCATCCATGACGACAACAAATAGGAGTGGGGATAAGCGCAGAGCCTTGGTGTACCCCGACAGAGATGGGAAAATCCATCGAAGTGCCTGCTGCCGTTTGCACTCGGCTCTTTGGACTCGAGTAAGGATGCGCACCCACTCAATAAGCTCTTCGGGAACGCCATGCTGTCGTAAGGCATACCATATAACGTCACGCGGAACGCGATCGAAAGCCTTCTCCAAGTCTAGGAAGGCAAAATGCACCGGTCTTTGTTTTTCGCGATGTTTTCTAGCAGAAGGCGAGCGTGTATGGCATCGATGGTGCTGCAGCCAGCCACAAAACCACACTGGTTGGTGGTCAGCTCGACGATGTCCCGGATACGACTGTCTACAATTCGCTCAAAGATTTTCATGCTGTGCGAGAGCAGGCGAATTGGACGGTAGCTAGTGCAGTCTCCAGGACTGCCCTTTCTTCTTCCAGATGGGAATCGTCGTGCTTTGTTGCCAGCTCTCAGGCACCTTCTTCTCTGCAACGATCTGGTTGAAGAACTTCGTCAACCATTCTGCAGGATTCCAGCACTTTGACTTCCACAAGTCGGCCGCTAAGTCGTCGGGACCGGTTGCTTTGCCTGGCTTCATCTTCTTCAAAGCCATTATGGTCTCACTCCAGGTTATCTTCTGAACGGGACCGTGTTGAGCAGGATTGCAATGGCTCAAAAAAGACAAGCTTTTCGCGCGACGACGATGTTGATAGCGTGTACAGTCGGTAAGTCATGCAAGTAAACATTTGTTGTTCCATTCTCGGGACTGATGCATCTCTTCATTAGCAAGCTATTTTCAAAGAAGCTATGATCGACGTCGTAAAAGACTTGGCGCTCTATTACAGGTTATTCTCGAGAAACGCTCTCCTTCGCGGTTTGGCTCCCGTAAGAGTGTGAATTCGGTCCCGTCGAGGTCAGAATTGAGCTTCTTTCCATTTTTTCTTTTGTCCTTTTTATTGATCTGTGGAAATTTGGAATTTCAGAAATGCTGGCCGATCTCCTCCTCAAGTAAAACTTCCACTTGCGGAGCATAACTTTAATTATGTGTCGCGCCAAATGTGAGTTCTGCAGGAAAATAAAGAAATCAGTGGTAGCTACAGTGCATTATCACTGGTCAATGAAACCTAGCCAATCAGTTTCGTCCTCAACCGGTCCTCTCAGCTGAGTAAGTCATCAATCACTTTCCCGTTTCTCTTTACTATTCTTCTATCTGTTGAGTATACCTAAGATCTCGAACAGGATGGTGGGTAAAACATTCACTTCACTTTGCCAAAATGCCCTTTGCGTTTAAAGCAGCAGTTCCCAGTAGGGTCCATACTTTCGATAACTGATGGTTTGGAAATGATGCACTAGACCCAATAAGAATACAGGAAGTGCCCCTAATCAAAAAAAAACCCGCCTTGAAGCCACAAGGAGTATCCTAAACATGTGGGAACACCACAATTCTTCCTACTCCTTGCCTCCGCCGACTTCCTAGCCGTCGAATCGCGGGTTTGGCTGCGAAGACATGTGCGATCGTTTGGGACTACAGAGACTGTTTGAACTCGGTCCACCAAACCGTCCAATTTGATGCTCTCGCGTGCGCTGGAATTCCGAATGTTTCTTGATAAACGTGTGCCGCTTTTCCTAGAAACTGTGATGTTCCAGCTATAATTTCTCCGATTAAATGAAATCGTTGCCATGCATAAATCAAGCTCTTGATAACAAGACGGGCACCACTCTTCCGGTCCTTCCTTTCCTATTTTGAGTGGGAACAAAGGGTGTTTGTTAAAGCAACAGTCCAGGAACGAATTTGCGGGCCAAAAGCACCTATATGGAAGTTGTAGGTGAAAAGTGGTCGAACGTAAAGAGAAAAAGTGAAGAAAACGCCCAACTGGGGCTTAGACAGGGACATGCCCTGCCGTTTAGGGAGACGTGTGTTGGAACGAATTGTCCCGTAATAACTTCCCGTAGTACATGCGCTTTAATTGCAACTGCTGGCAAATAGCTGCATGCTTGCAAATACATAACTATTTGCCAGCAATCGAAATTGAAGCGCTTCAATTGCGTTCTTATGGAATCGACCTCATACAGCGCGGCGGTCCCGCAACGACCGCTAGTCAAGCACGGACTCTGCACAGCGTATGTTGGGCGATCCGCCTCTTTATGGGTGATCCGCCCCCTCCAAGAGGACTTCGACCCCTTCCAGCGCATTTTAGAGGTAGGTTTTGAAATTAAAGACATTTCCTATAAACTAGTGGCCTGGCCATTTGACCGCTCATAACGGACCAGATTGAAACCCTGCGGAGTGCATTAAGGCGATTTATCGCAGTCATGCCCCCGTCGTTTCATCCAGTCGACTCTGCATTCACGAATTCACTATTGACCGCTTTTGTCCCACGAACTGTTGCTTTAAAGCAACAATCCAAGAACGATTTCGCGGGCAAAAACCCCTATAATGCAGTTGTGGGTGTAAAGTTGACCCATAATGAAAGGAAAAGTTTTAAAAAAACGCTGAGCAGGGTCTTACAATAGATAGGAACTCCCAATCTGCCACTTAGCGATGGGGGAGGACGCGTGTTGGACGAGTTGCCTGAACCTGCCCGCAGTTTCCAATCAGATGGCTTGTGTAGCGGCAAAGCACTGCTGAAAAAACCATGCTAAAGAAACGTCACAAAATGTTGCAAATGCATAATCATGTCGCAGCTTAGCAAAAAATTCTGTCATTTTCATCCCCGTCTCCCCTCCCTTGCCCCATACGAAATACACTGGGGCCGCTTGTTGAAAGTGGGAATGATGATGGAAATCGAAAAAAAAACTTGCGAAGAAATCCAATTCGAATGAGTGACCAAAACGTACGCGCTCTAAGCATGATCGACATTGATTTTGAAAGGATTGACCTCAAATAGTCCCGGTGGTCCCGAAAGACCGCAAATGTCTGCGCAGCCAATCACGCACTCTCCACAACTGAAGTGGGCGGCCGCACCGAGGCTCGGTGGACCCGCCCACTTCGAAGGCGTTAGACCCCTTCCAACGCCTTTCAAAGGTAAGTTTTCAATCAGTGACATTTCCTATGTACTTGACTTGGGCTAGTGCATGTTTCCACCCCTTAGGATCGAATGGTTGAAACCCTGCTTGGACTGTTGCTTAAACTGTGCGCTATTGTCGGCGGTGCCCGAGGCATTAATTGGCGATCTTCTTCAATTTGTCGCGACCTCCAAGCGCTATCTAACGATAAACATAACTTTGAGCTTCACTGTATAGCAGGGAATGTAGGCGCCGTGAATTCTCTGTAAATAAAAACAGATCAGCCTGGAGATTAGACATATGCACCAGCTCCTCCCGCTCCGCGCCGGCGCCCGGTCAACTTGTCCACACCCTCTTCCCAAAAAGATGAGAGATTGGAGTGAAGACGTCGTCAGTTGCCACCGATTTGCGATTTTCTTTCGTGTAACAGTGAAGGCGGCCGAAGGGGAAGCATCGATTTTGAAGATTTTAGACTTGGAGGGCGATGTCAAGGCAGGTTCTGGGAGAAAACCGGCTCATCACACTTCTTCACGCAACCTGGGTCTCCTTGCCGTGTGAACTCATAGTAAAAGTTGATGGCTGTTCCCGTTGCATAACTGTTGATAGGGCTGCCGGGTAATCCCTCATCTTCCCTGCAGTCCTGATCTTGCCTTGCCCGTTTACTGATAGTCGGACCACCTCCAGTGCTTTCTGAATGAAAATTCAAGACGACAGATGGTAATAAAGAGACTTATGACCTCATCGAATCTCGGCTTCTTAACCTAGGAACGTAGGAGCGAGTTGCGAGTCGAGAAGCTGTTCGAGGAATGGTGCAGAGTTGTAGGTAGGTATGGTGCATTTTCTTTCTACAGTGAAAGTCATTTTTCTATAATATTTACAGAAGGGTTGGAAACTTTTCTGAGCAACCTAATAGAGTCAATTTTTTTCATCGAAAAAACTCAGGGCTCTTCATCATTCTATTAATTGTTTTATTAAGACTGGCACTCTTGCAGGCCGATGCGCCTCCTGCCCAAGAAGTACATACACCGTTTATTTGCGTTGGTACACCAGCTGACCTCAAGCCGAAATGCAATTTGGAGGAGCACACAATGGACAGTAGTGGCAGTACAGTGCTTTGCACAAGTACTGCAAAACTCTTACCGCACTGAGTTCAGAAAATACACTACTGGATTGAAAAATTGATCGCTGTGATTGCAATTTATTGTCTTTTCCTACGCCCGAATATTTAATTCAAGCCGACTTTATGTGATTGTTTTTTTGTGATTCGAAGTTGCAAACGACTCCTGAAAGCTACTGTTAAACTTTAAGGTGTTCCTTTGCTTATTTAATGTTGACCCATCTCTTGCATGTGCAGGGCGTAACTATATGTGCTACGCTGCCTTTGTCGGCTATCCTACAAGTCACAAGTTTTTATTTTTTCTGTAAGGTGCGAAAGGCATTCTCGCTTATGGCGCACATCTGCAAATTCTTCGTAGCACAAGCGTGAAGCCGCTGATGGAAGTCTTATTGCGAAATATTCTGAAATGTCACCCATGAGCAGAATCAAGTCATTCCCCACTGTCTGTTCAGTGCTTGAGGAAGTCCACTACTGCGGTCGAGTTCAAGAAGGCCTACCGTAATTGCACCATCATCGAGCTGAGCAGCGATTTTTTCAATTATTAACCAAACAATTTTTTAGAGGCAGTGGCCATACCTGTGCTAGAGCCGGC